CAGCTTATTGAAAGAGAAACATTTTACAAGTACTTGTTGAGTGCAAACAAAATCCTTTCTGTCACCTTCATTCTTTCCTAGAACACCCTGGAAGTTACAAAGAACCTGAGCTTTTCTGGCCTTGCACATAGAACTTTATCTGTCAGGAAGGTCATTTCCATTCTTCCAATTCAACACACTAGTCCCTCTTTCCATACAGAATATGCTTCAAAAATCAAACCTTCCCATAAGAGGCTTCCAAGTGCTTCCAAGTATGTCCCAGCATTTCCCCAAGAGCAGTGGGAACATTTGAGGGCACTAAAGAATTTCAGGAGAACTATACAAATAAAGGAAACGTGGAGTGACACTACTATATATCAATGCATTCCATGACTTCTGTTTATTTATTTTTTAATATATGGGCTGCTTCACACATCTGTGTGTCATCCTTGTGCAGGGACCATGCTAACCTTCCCTGGACAGCATCCGATGTCAGTATATGTGCTGCCCAAAGCAACTGTTCTCTATATTTTAGAATATGACTGGCCATCCCTCCTTGGACATTGGAAGAGTTCAAGTGTAGAATATTACTGGTGGACTGAAGAAGTTGCACCCTTGCTCAATACTATTCATAGTAGTCCATGGACCAGCAGCAAAATTGCTTAAAATTCTGTAAAACATGCACAAGTTTAGTCCCCACCACAGCCTACCTGAATCAGAGTCTCGGTAGGAGGGGATCCAGCAGTTTGAAGCTCTGGAGAAGTTTTGCTTGTTTGTCTGAGATGCAGCTTGCCTTTCCAAGAAGCACTGTCCCTCTCTGGGGGAACACGTGGTTCCTCTGGAGCAGAACGGCCAACATGGAAACCTTCTAGATTTGCACTGTCCAGCCTGGTAGCCATTAGCCACACTGGGCTATTGAACACTTGGCATGTGGCTAGAGAGTGGGTCTGAGGAACTGGTATTTTGATTTACTTTTGATTTCAATACCCACATGTGACCAGAGGCTAACCCTCCTGGACAATACACATCTGGAAATGATGATTACAAAAACAACTATGACTTAAAATATTCATGGAGTTTTCTATGCACCAACCTCTGTGTTAGGTATTTTACATGGATTATTTCTTTTAATTCTGATAAACAACCCTATGACAAGGTTGTGATAGGCCACAGGACTAGTAACAGCTGCATTACAGTCACAAGTCACTGTGTATTGTGTTGGCCAGTGGAAAACACGGGCTAAATATATTTTTAAAATCACCCACTGACATAGAGTGAATTCTGACTCCTAGCAACCTGATAGCACAGAGTAGAACTGCCCCTGTGGGTTTCTGAGACTGCAATTCATTCTGGGAATTGAAAGCCTCAACTTCCTCTTGAGGATTGGCTGGTGGTTTTGAACTGCTGACCACATGGTTAACAGCCCAATGTATAACCCACAATGCCACCAGGGTTAAATATGGAGTCTGTTTCAGTGAACATAGAAGGCCTTATAAGCGTGTCTTTGGTTTATAAATGATTATAGATTTATGTTACTTTTCCTATATCTCATTTTCCTTAATCCTACTTTTTCTCATTTAAAAAATTATATCCATCTCTCCTGGTATTGCTAGATTTATTATCTATCATCTCCCCTACCTTCTATCTGTGTTGGGGAGTGATGTAAAAATTGCATGGAGAGAGTCCTGGACAAGACTGTTGTTTGCCGGATCACTGAACCAACAGTGGGCAGTCCCAGGTCTCTGTAGACCCTATGGTGGACAGAGAAGGGACTTTCCAATATCCCTTACCGTCAACGCTGCCAGTTATCAATTGCGTGACCTTTGGAAAGTTGTTTGGCCCTAAGAATGTGCTCCCTGATTTGGAAGATCGGGTTTATATGAAACTTTCATTCAAACTTATTTGAAGATGAGCCATGATACGATAGTCACTTCAGATGGTGACACAGGGCACGCAGCACACACACAACTGATCACAATTTCCACAAAGCCACCTTTACACTAATATCTCTGTTCAGTTTCATTTTACTTTCCACATTGTGGTCACTCTACATTTCTGTGATCTTCGGATCCGCAAAAGAGTCATTACTCACAAGGGACATGCTGTCACAACACATTGTCCTCTAGTAAGCGTCACTCAAGAGAACAGAGGAGAACAACTCCGTGGGATTTCCAGGGCTTTCTTTTCGCTTCTTTGTTTTTGTGTTTTATTGTGATTTGAGTGAACGTTGACCGTTCACACTGGTGTTCCATTCACTGATCCTCACACGTTATCAATCATGACATTGACGGCAATCCCTACGGTGTAAGGCGCTCTCTGCCCACTGCTTCCCTGGATTTACCATGTCCAGTTGTTTTTCTTCTAACCTCCTCTTGCTTTCTGAGCGTCTCCGTTGCTGGCCAATGGCAAATGTCACCCCAGCTCTTGTGTGGTTGGTTGTTCTAGACAGTGTTTGAACCGTCCTGGTGCTCTCCTTCACCTTAGAGGCCCCTCTGCTGTGTGGCTGAAAGTTGAGCCAGGAGGGTGGTTTCAGGGGTTAAATGATAATGAAGGACCATCATCTTGGGGTAGAACCGGCGCCTCTCTGAGCAGTAGACCTGCTTTGAGAAATTATTCTGAGTTTGTGATCACATTTTCCTCTTACTCTCTCTAGGACTTAGAGTGGCCAACAGTGCTCGCTGGACAACCTTCAGTTCTGGTCTCCGAGGCTGGCAGGCCAGGCGCAGGAGTCCTTTAGACAAACTGACTGCCCGTGCGTGTGATTTTCTGACGCTGCTCTGCTCTGAAGGAGGAGGGATAAATGGTTGCTGCACAGATAGCCGCCGTCCGCTTCGAAGGCCCCAGGAGCAATTCACCACAGTAGGAAGTAGAATGTCACCTCTGTGGACGCTCTACGTCTTTACAGATCAGACTGCTACCTTTCTCTCCTGGTGTGGCTGCTGGGTTCGAAGCACCAATGTTTGGCTTCAGCAGCCAAGTTCTTTCATTACTGGACCACCGGGGCTCCTCCCACTATGTAAAATGCTTGGCATATAGCAGGTGCTCGTTAAATAGTGGTTTTCCTTCCTTCATAGATATTCCATTTATTTATTGTTTGGTTGGTTTATATTAATCATTTTCTTGGTGGGCCCTTACAAATCTTATAGCCATCCACCATTCAATTGTATGAAGCACACTTGTACATATGTTGCCGTCAGCATTTCCAAAACATGTTCTTTCAACTTGAGCCCTTGGTATCAGCTCCTCTTTTTGCCCCTCCCATCCCTGCCCTCCCCCCTTTGTGAATCCTTGATCAATTATATATTATTATTATTATTTCATATCGTACACAGTCCACTGTCTCCCTTCACCCACATTTCTGTTATTTGTCCCCTTGGGAGGGTGGTTGCTATATAGCGAACCTGGTGATGGGTCCTCCCCCCACCCCCTTACACCATCCCTCTACCTTCATGATTATCACTACTCCCACTACTGTTCCTGAGGGTTTTATACGTTCTATTTCTACCACTCGCTGATACTTCCTTGTAGATCTCCATGAACGTGGCCCACACACACATGGCAATCCTTCTGTCCTGCCTCTGCTTCTCTGGTCACTCCACAGCGGGCTCACTTCACAGCCTTCACTCTGTTACCCCCGCCGAGATGCATCTGTTTCCTGCCCTTTTCCACATGTAGGTCTTCAGGCTTCAGTTCAATTCTGGGAACGACATAACATCTCTCCAAAAGACTCAGTGGGTGACAAAATGCCCAGAATCTGTTCTTGTCCCTTATAACCAAGAACTCCACCAGTACATGCCGCCAAGACCATCCCTCTAGGAAGCCACCCGATTGTACATAGGATAATGCTGTCTGACTATCCATGTTACCATCTTTCTTGCAGTGAAAATGGGATAAGGCAATCAAAACTTTAAATCTCATGTTAATAATATACATAATGCTTTAGATTTAGGAGAATCTACAGGGTTGACCATGGGAATTTTAAGAACCCAAAAGACCAGTCCTGGGAACTCCTTCGAGGCGGGGATGATGGAGAGGTTGCCTCCTTACCGTAAGTAGATGGCATCGGGTACTCACCAGTGCTAATTTCTGTGATGACTTCCGCAGCGTGGTGACAACCCTGGACTATGCTCCTGGTCCAATGGGACAGGTCCCTGCTGATCTCTGCCCTGAAGAGGTGCGTTTCAATCCCTTGCCTGGTACCAGTTCGGGTTGCAAAGGACAGATCCACACCAGCCTGGGGTGACCCCTTTCCAGGACCTGAATGGACCAGCCTGGAATTGAAGGAGAGAATGAGAAACGAACAAACAAACAAGAACCATCCAAATGGGGGATGCTTCTGTCCACCTGCCATGCCACCTAGAACAGCTCGACAGGACCATGTGCTCTCATTTTTCTGATCTGGAACCAATGGTTTCCTGCCGAGTCCTCTACTCAGCTCTTCCCTGGGGGGCAAGTCAGACTATGCCCAAGAACTGTGCATCTGGTGGGAAGCTCAGAGGAGCTCAACAATACGACTGTGGCTTATGCAAATTCAATTATTCTCACACAGCCAGAAAGATAAAGAAGAAGTAATCAGTACATGAAAGAGAACAATGTGAAGCATGCATTAAAATCCTCCCCCATTCATCCCCGAACAGAGTGGCCCCAGGGTAAGTGTGATACTGGGCATCGATTATTTCCTGGATAGACTTAGTTCCCCTGTGTCTCTTGCCGCTGGACCATCTGGCTGCATTGAATGCACTTCTAAGTATGTGTTTTTCAAGCACACAGCCCCCAAATGCAATCCAGCTACTGGAGACTCAACACAAGCAGCATCCATCAGGAATAAAGCACGAGAGAGAACTGGGGAAATTGGACTTCTTGCAAAATGGCAGTGGCCAGCACTTTATGGGGGAATTAAGGGATTTTCTAGAGTCATTTTTAAGCATACACGATGTTCACAGCTACTTGAACACCCTATTCTCAGCATAAAATGTGACTCCCATAGTAAAGAGTTCCTGAAAAGGGCAGGCTTCAAAAACCAGGGCTCAAAGTTCTGTGAGTGTTGCTTCTGGGCTGGCAGTGGGCACACACTGGCCCCGTCAGGTCCCTGCCTATCTTGCCGACTCCCCACCATCCCAACTTGCCTTTGAGAGAGACTCTCCTATCAATAATTTGCAGGGTTGCAGATGTATAATTTCGTTAATGTTACTTCTCTCCGGGATGTTTGCATTTACAGTCTTATCTTTTAATACAGAAAGAAACACGTTAGCCTTTCTTAGAGATATGCCTGGTGTTGCTCCGCATGGTGGATTGAGAGAGCTATTACGCAAAAGGCTCAGTACCGCTAGATTAAAACGGACACACAGGGAATAAAGAAAAGCTTATTTTCTCTTCTTAATGTAATATTGTAAGCCACCGCTAATCGTGGAACAAAACATATCATACAGCCTGTTGAGTTTCAAGCATCAAGCTTGTTGGGTAACTCTTGAGTACTTCCTTTACCTTACAAGCTTGGAATGAAGTGGGATGCTAGTTTACAATGGCAATCTGAAGAAAAGAGTAGCTGCAAAATCCTTTACTTAAAATCACGAACACAAGCTTACTGATTGGATAGAGACTGGTGGACCCATAAGACTGAGTCTTAGATACCCTTCAGGCCTGGAAATAAACTCACACCTCTGGCTCAATTTTAGCAGACAAAAGACAAGTCTATAAAGAGAATCAAGAGATCAAAGGACTCCATGAATTGGGTAAATATGCTGCATGAGACCTCCTTAACATGATGAAATGCAAAGGGGTTGCTTTGAGGACTAAGGTGCACCCAACCCAAACCATGGTACTTCCAGTTGCCTAATAGGCACATGAAAGTTGGACACTGGACTCTCTCTCTCACTCTCTCACACTCTCACTCACTCTCACACCCTCTCACTCACTGACTCACTCTCTCACTCACTCACTCTCTCACACTCTCACTCACTCACTCTCTCATTCACCCTCACACTTACTCTCTTATTCACTCTCTCATTCATTGACTCACTCACGCACTCTCTCTCTCTAATTCACTCATTCTCACTCTCTCACTCACTGACTCACTCTCTCACTCTCTAATTCACTCACTCTCATTCACTGACTCACTCTCACTCACTGACTCATTCACTCACTCACTAAAAAAAAAGAAAGTTGGACACTGAATTAAGAAGACCAAACACGAGTTGATGCATTTGAATTATGGTGCCGGCAAAGAATATGGAAACGACCATGAACTGCCAAAAGAATAAGCAGACATGTCTTGGAAGAAGTATGGACAGAATGCTCCTTAGAGACAAGATGGCTGTGAGGTCCAGCCTCATGACCCGAAGGGTCCTGAGAAGCAGCTGTGAAACTGAGGGAAACTAAAGAGACAGACAAAGAGTGCAGGGTGCTCTCCTTTCCAGAAGTCAGGAACGAGAAAGAGAGTGACTATATTCTCCAACAGGTTTACATAGTCGTAGGGCGTGCAGGCCCTGTTAATGAAACAGGAGCAGGAATAGGAAGCTGCTAGAGAGTGCCAGGTCAAGGTGAGGCATTTCTCCAAAGTTGAATGTAGCCTTTGAAGGGGTTGGAGGGTCAGGTACAATTTCATGAAGAAATGGTGTCCCCAGGACTCACGAGAAGTCAATTATGCTTTTGCTGCTGTTGGGTCTCTTCCCCTCCATCCCAGCCCTGTGGACAACAGAAAGCAACACCTCCCAGCCTGCACCCGCCTCACAATGGTTGCTCTGTTTGCGCCCAGGGTCGCAGCCCCCCGTCAGCCCATCTTTATCAAGGGCCTTCCTCTTTTCAGCTTCTCTTCCGCCTGACACAGCACGCTGTCCTTCTCCAGGGACCAGTCTCGCCTGACCACATGTCCAAAGCCTGGGAGAGGAAGCCCCGCCCATCATCCTTGCTTCCAAGAGGCATCCTGGCTGTATTTCTTGCCTTCTTCCAAGCCATTTTCACCCCGGTCCTTTTGGCAGTCCCTGGTACTTGTAATATTCTTTGCCAGCACCAAAGTTGCTCAAAAGTGTTTTCTATTCGAAGTTTTGGCGTTTTCTGTTGGAGTTGGTTTGAGAAATAGAACTCGTTCTGCCTTTTGAAAATCTTAAACTCTGTACCAGCTGAGCCTAGAGGAGAAGCAGCCTGGGAAGCACAGAGACATAGCAGCCAGAGGCACAAAACCTGCATGACAACCCCATTCTGTCATTCGTCTAAATTTTCTAAGGCTTGCTGCCTCCTAACAAGGCATAGTGCAGCAGGTCTCAACCTGGGGGTCCCAACCCCTTTGCAGGTTGAACGAGCCTTTCACAGGGGTCACCCAATTCATAACAGGAGCAAAATGACAGTTATGAAATAGCAATGAATATAATTTTATGGTTGGGGTCACCACAACATGACGAACTGTATGAAAGGGTCCCGGCATTAGGACTCTCACGAGAGTGGTATGGAATCCCCTATCTACCGGACCTAGCATAAAACGTGGCCTGGTTGTCCTCCATCCGACTGCATTCTGTCCCTCTACCCTGGGTTTTCTCATGTTAAAAATACAATCGGTCCTTCAAAGGACTTGGGGTTAAACAGGATGAAATGCTGTTTCTGTAGCGAGGTGGGGATCACGATTGCTAATGCATGAAAGGAGATGGGTTTGCAGACCTCTTTGAGTCCTTGAACAGTGCCCCAAAGAACCGTGGTGTCACTGGGGCTTAGGCTTTGGGCTGTTAACCACAGGTCGGGGGTTTAAAGCCGCTGTTCCTGGGGAGAATGATGCGGCGGTCTATTTCCGTTAAACTTTATACTCAGAAGCCCCATGCAGTGGCTGTGAGTCGGAATACACAGGACGGCAGTGCCTTTAGGTGTCTTTGCTTAAGGGGAGTCCAGACAGCGAGTGAGGCATTCCACGCTGAGTAAAAGGCTGGAGACGCAACTCCACGTGGAGGTGCTTTGGAATAGGGGCACGGAGGGCCTGGTGATCCACTTCCCCTCCAACAATATCCCTTGGCAGCCCCATGAAGCCCAGTTCCACTCCGACAGTGTGCACTCATTGTCAATTCCATGGCAACTGGTAATGGGGCAGATCTACAATCAAGGGAGAGTGTATCCTGGTGTTGAAAGAGCCTGCTTAGCACATCACAGTGTTCATTCAATGAACCTGGGTTCCCTTCCACTCTCTGCAGGGGCCCTGCTGGCTCACTGGGTCTCTAACCAAAGGTCGGGCAACCACCTGCTGCTTTGCAGGACAAAGATGCGGCTTTCTACTCGCACACACAGTTGCAGTCTCAGAAACTCTAAGGGCCATTTCTACTCTGTCCTCTAGAGTGGCCAGGAGTCAGAATCAACTCAGTGGCCGTGCATCTGGTGGCCACCCCTGTGTTCTTACTTTCCGTCCCTTAACCACTGCTCAGACGACAGCACTGCTACCCTGGAGGCAGCATGGATGTGCTGAAGAGGGCAAGGAAGATACCCTGCCTCACCCGAAAGGAGAACGCTGTGGGGCCCAGTGCGTGTGAACTTCCTCCTGTTATTTCCTTTTCTTCCGAGAGACTACATCATTCAAAGGAAAAATGACCAGGAAATGCAATTGGATAGACACTGTCCTTTGGCAGTTCAGAGCATGCAGAATCGGGTGACTAACAAAGCAGCCTGAGATGTGTGAGCCGTGAATGAAGCTGACCAGCGCCCTGCACGCAGAGAGGACTGGATGGGAAAACCCGGAGAGCCACAGCCGGTGAGGCGAGACACGCACCCCTGGCGACAGGACTCTCTGTGTCTTTTGTTAGTCTCATCACTAAGTGCTCATTGACTGAAAGAGAAAAGGGGAAAAAATTGATTTCTCAACTAACCAGGTGTGAAATACCTCGTATTTATATGAAAGAACAATTCGATTTGCTATCTGAGAATTAGCCAGCACTCTGATCTATGCCTTCTTTTGCAGATGCCACTATTGGTTTACTGAAACGCACAGGGCTATCTGCAAACTCTGAGATAAGACACATTGTCCGCCACTACTCCGCGTGTGCCTTCCACCATCCGTCTGTCAGTGTGCTGTCCTGTGCTGATGTGGAGTTTGCTGCGACGCCAGGAAGGTTTCAAATACAAGGAGGGCAACCCATTGGGGATGGGCTTCAGTGGAGCTTCCAGACTAAGAGAGACCAGGAAGAGAGCCTTGGAAATCTACACGTGAAAAGCAGTCAGTGGAAACCTTATAAAGATCGCAACCAATTATCCACACCTCCCCATCCCCCCTTCCCCCAGGTTGGAAGATGAGCCCCTCCTT